ATTTTAACTTACCAACCATTACTTAGTCAATTAAGTCCAAAATGTGAGTTAGAGTCCTCTAATGGAAAAAAGGCTCAAAACACAAGTTGGTTTAGGTATGAAAGTCTCATAACGTTGGTAATAAACCCCCAAAGGGATTAAACCATTAAGTATGAAACCTCAATTCCACACTTACGCAAACAAATGACTTGAAACAACTTTCAAAGAAAAAAGAAAAACCAAGAAATGAGGGAGGTTGCAGAGGTGATTAGTGCTGAAATGAAGTACAAAAGCACGCAATCAACTCAAACAAAAGGTGCCTAATGGACTAAAACACTACCTTTGTGAGGACTATTATAATACAACCATGCAAAACAAAATTCAATTGACCCAAACAGCCCAAAATAAAGCTAAAGCAGTCTAAAACAAAGGCAAAAACATGCTAGAATATAGTTACAAAAAGCTAGAAAAACATGCCAACACATGGAGTTAACTAGGCTAGCAAACAAGGCACAAGAAGGGAAGGCTAACCCCTCCAACTTTGGACTTAAAACATGTTTTTTGCCACTAAAAATAGCCTAAAATTTAGTGGTTAAAGGCCCCCTCCCAAAAAAAAAATTGGTTTAAAGATGGGAAACACAAGTGAAGAAGCCTTACAACAAGGTACAAAGAAGGGTGAACCACCCCTACCTTAAAATGGCTTCAAACCACAAATTTCAACTCATTTTTACTGAGTTTTATAGCCCAAAAATAGTATAAAAAAAAAAGATAGGAAAATAAGTATTCAAAATAAGCTAACAAAGCAAATATTATATCTCTTGAAGAGAAGAGTGATTTTAGGCAACAATTCAAGCCAAAACCAACTTGTAGAGCTCGAAGAGGGCCTCAAAGAACCTCAGCTCAAAGGTGATCAAGTTTTGTTAAGGAAGTCAGGGCAAGAGTGTAGTGTAAGTAGGCAAAAGTGTAGAGAAATGTAAGAGAGAAGGAAAGAGAGAGAGAGAGAGAGAAATCTAGAGAGAGAAAATTTTAAGTTTGAAATCTTCCAACCCTAAAACATGAGAGAGGGACTCCCTATATATAAAAAACATGAATTCTATACAAGGAGATCTAGCCCTCTACGTGTGGACAGATACAAGCATCTGTGCAAACAGCTGGCATAAAATATCTGTAGAAAGCACTGGTGGCTGGCCATTAGTGGTAGTCAGCAAGGCATCATTAATGGCCAGCAAGGCACATTAACAGCCGGTAGGCCAGAAGCTCTGGCCGGCAGCCTTCATAGATGGCCAGCAGGCCACTAGAGATTGTAGGAGGGAAGGACCAAGACATGGTCCAAAAAAGAGACAAAATGGATGTAGGGTTTGAAAGGCTCAAACCTGTGGCGTTCCACTGAGGACTTAAGCGCTCGGCGAGCAATCAGACTCGTCATCGGAGGCACCTGCAAGAATATCCATGTCTTGAAGGGTCGTAAAAAATAGGGTGTCTACACCAGCATCCTTGACTTCTGCAGAGCAAGTTGCCGTCACTGTTCTCCAAAGTGCCTTTCGGGAGGCGCGAAAGTTTGGCTCCTAGTACGACCTTAGAACTGGGGAACTGCTTCCAAAGAGACCTAAAAGGGACAAAACCACCTATCTTTCTTAGCTAAAGCATTTCTTCAAGGACCTGCAACCAGTTGTAGGCGACATTATCGAGGAGAGCCGCGACTCCGTAGTTGGGCCAGGCTGCCACGGTGACTTGTACTTGGCCGCCTTCGTCAGTTATTTCATCTCTTTTTTTGTTCTACCTAGCAACCTTGCCGAAAGCATTAATCCTTTAGTGTTTCCTTTGGCTGTCAAGCTCTGCCGCGGCAGTCAGATTCCTCTGGCCCCTCTCTTCTTGTGAAGCCTATATTTCTGTCTTGATTTCATCTATTCGAACATGGAGCGATCTATGGGCTGCTATGATGTGTGGAGCTTCATACACACTCCGTTCCTAACTATTTTTTTTGTAAAATATTCCCTGCTATGGGCCCTATTCCTAAAGAGCATGAGCCATTCTTTACCGATAAAGTCTTTTATGCGAAGGGCTGCCCTGTTCTAGATGCAGAAGGTCGACCTATCAAGAGGCAAGTGCGTCAATCCCTCCCTCGCATCTCTCGGTGGTCTGGCCTTCGCACCAACTGACCCTATACAGACTACATTGACCATATGGAGGAGTGTGTGTTCCGCCCTTTCACTTAGCTTCTCCCAGGCATTTATGTTGTTCCATTTTATTTTTCAGAGGCCCATCATGTTGATTTTTCCCTCGACAGCGTCCAGGCTAACTCCCTCCTTATTACTGCTATGATACGCCCTAGATTTCTACCCGTATGGAATGAAAAAGGCATGTCCAGCATCGTCTACCGACCGGGCAGGGTCCTTAGGCAGTTCGAAATGGATCAGGGTGTCCCACATGCCCCTCTGCCTCAGACTGATTTCCACCAGAGTTTTCAGCAGTTTGCCCATGACGATACCGCTTTACTTGTGGAGGGCTTTGGTTTCATGGATCTCTCCTTACTTGGGAGAGAGGGCGCCTTTACTCCTAATAACAGGTTGTTCTAGCACCGCAACCTCAATTCTTTCTTCAATTTTTGCAACAGCACTCTGATTGTCCTTACGATGGAACCTATCCCGTAGCCTGACTTATTTCTTCGTCTGCCTTTTGGCCGAGGGAAACAATCAAGTATATTCTGCCGCTTTAAGCTTTTATCCCTACCCGTCATGGAGAAGCCTCACCCGTCTGGGGCAATATCTGTTCAACCCTTGCAAATTGCTTCCCCTCAAGTCAGCACAATAGTACGCATGACCCGCTCCAGACTGAGGGCAGCCCAAGCAACAACGGCATTAGTTGCCAAGGCACATGCCTCACCAAGTAGGAAGAGACTTCGGAAGGTATTCGTACTTATAAAATATTTTTGCATTACTTATTTCGTCTTCTTATATTTACTTTAATAATTGCATAATCTTTTTCCTTTTTAGGGCCCATCGGTCGTACTACCTTCAGGCCCGGAGGTTCTCCTACTGCCATTGGCATTTCCTCAGATTCGAACAACAACGACAACCTTCCCATTGCTACAAGGGTCAGTAGGATAGTACTTCTAGATGTTGAAAAGGAACCAAGTTTGAGAGTCGAACCGACTGCTGAGGCAGAGCCAGTTGCCGAGGCTGAGCCAATTATGGAGGCTACAGACAATGTACAAGTTTCCCCTGCTATGGAAGTTGTAGTGGGTGATACAATTGCTGAGGGTTAAAAGCCTCCAAACCCTGCTGATTCTATGTATTCCAACCGTTCTTCTGTCAGTGGAGATGATTTTGTCCCCGAGACATCAAGGGAAGATTGCGGCGTGAGAGAGCCGCTGGAAGTTGTACTACGTTCCTTTAGAGCTGTATCTAGTGGTTCCACCCAGTCCACTGAGTCTCCATCGGTTCAACAGACTCCACTTCCAAGCGTCCCATCGGCTGAGGGGAGTGCCAGTGTAGTGGCTGCTTCCACTGTTCCTGTTGTGGCCCCTCTAAATTTGGACCGACTTGTAGAGGTAGCTATCACCTTAGTCGTCCACACTGTTATTGCTTGACCCAATTGCTTCGGCAACCTCTAAACAGTTGGCAGACTTCTACCCAACTCATTTTCCAAAGGTGCCAGTTGACCTTAGAGTGTCTCAAGATTTTTATACTGGGATAGATACCACTGCTATTCCGGATTTGAATGTTGGAGACTACCAGATAGATGACCTCTTTTCAAAACGACGTGATGGTGCAAGCAGCTTTGGTCTTTCTCGCGAGGCCAGTTTACCTGGTCGCCATCCAGCATCTACCTACTCTAATGCTACTAGGTAGTCATCTTTAGGGAAGTGCGTCACCCTCAGACCTGTGGTCGCTCTGCTTGTCTCTTTCCAGTGATTAAAGCTGGTGGTAGTGTGAGAGAGCTACCTCAGTTCTTAGAGAAAGTATCATTTCTAAGTTACTGGGTCTCCTCCGAAGTTGCTCCCACTCTTGCTCGTATCCAGGCACTGCATCCGAACACCTTTACTACCTTTAATGTTCCTGGATCTATAGTGCAGATGGCATTGCTAGAGTCACTTGCCAGCTTCATCCATGACCTTGTTACCAATTTGATCTTGACAACTCCCAGCAAGTTCATAGAAAGTGCTGAGGCCAACCTGAGTGGCTTTGAGAGGAACGGCTTGGACATATCATGGATGAGGGATAGGCTTCAGACAATTGATCGTTTCCTTGAGCATGCTGACAATGTGGTGATGATTGCATCCTTGAAGGAGACTATCAAGGAGTGTGAGGGTGTCTTGGAGCAGCATCGGCAGAACCTAGCTCGGTTCAAAGAGAAAGACTCTGCATTGGTTGCCTAGTTGCATCGAGATGTGACTTTGATGGACTCCTTTTTGAAGGGTTTGATTTGACTTGATGTAACTCTGTTATGATTTCCTCCATTTTTTTCTCTTTATTTTGTTGTTTCATTACGCTTGCAGCGCCTTTTCTCTTCTTCTTCTCTATCATAACTTCTTTTCAAACATTGTAATCATGTTCTGAAAGTTTGACTTTAATGAAAAGTGTGGATGTTTGGTAGTACTTTTGAGTTTCATTTCATCGTTTTCTTTACATTGCTTTTACATAGCTTCTAAAGATAAGTAGTACTCTTGCCATGAACAAAACTTCATCATGACAAGGATAACTTTCACTAAGTATGGAAACCTTTCCTCACACTAAGTGTATATGAGAGTAACAGGTTTACTAAGTGTATGACACTTTCTTTACACTTTGCTTTAAAAGTATTAACAAAGAAACTTTACAATTCTTTTTCCTGGACAAAAGCACTTAAGGAAAATATTCTCTGACATAGTTGGTGTTGATAGGGCCAGTTCTGAACCCATCATCTACTCTTGTCAACTTATAGTACCTGTTGTTACTTGCCTCAGCAACTTTGTAAGGGCCTTCCTATCTGGGTAAGAACTTGGGAATTGGTTGCCCCCGCATGATTGTATCCACTATTTTTCATACTAGGTCTCCATTATTGAACTTCTTGTGTTGAACAGATTGATTGTAGGCACGAGCTATGGATTGATGATACTTTTCCATTGCTCGCGAGGCCCGATCTCTTCTTTCTTTAGCTGCCTCTGTGTCATTTTTCCTGCTATCTAGAAGGTGTGCTGACATAGCCATCCTTGCTGAGGGTATTGCCAACTTAACTGGTAACACAGCTTCGGACCCATATACTAGGGAAAATGGGGTTGCCTGAGTTGGCTTTCTTTTTGACGTTCTATACGCCCAAAGTGCCAGGGGGAGTTGTTCAGACCATGTGCCCCTTCCTTTATCCATCATTTTACTCAGTATTCGGATAAGGGTTTTGTTGGTTGCCTCAGCTTGTCCGTTTCGTTGGGGGTAGTATGGACTAGACTTGTGGTGCTTGATCTGGTACGCATCCAGCAGTCTTGTAACGTGGCGATTTACAAAAGGAGTTCTACTATCAGACAACATTACTTTGGGTATGTCAAACCTATAGATCATGTTCTCTTTGATGAAGTTGGCTACTCCTGCCCCATCTGTCTTCCTTATTGGTATAGCCTCTACTCACTTGGTGTTGACTTCAATTGCTGCAAGTATCCATCTGTAGCCTTTGGATTGCTACGCTATAGAACCTACCAGGTCAAATGCCCAAGTATGGAACGGGTAAGGAGTCTTGATGTTGTGTAGTTCAACTGCTAGTGCATGTATCAAGTTCCCAGACTTCTGGCAGGATTGGCATCTCCTCACAAAGGTTTTAGCATTTTCTTCCATTGTTGGCCAGTAGTAGCTGAGGTGAATGAGATGTCCATATAATCGTTACCTTCATTTGCCTCATCTTTTGATAAGTACGCTAAAGGTTCCCCTTCGAAGCTTCTTCGGTACAGCTTGCCTTGGTCAAGGAAGAAGCGCAGGGCTTGCCTCTTAACTCTAATTGCATCGGCCTTGTTCTTGGGCAGTGTGCCCTTTCCAAGGTAGTCGATATACGGTTGCCTCCATTCTTCATTGCTTAAGAAATGGGATTCCTCTTCTTTAGGATAGGACTGACACTTTTCACATAGCTTCTGCAACTCAGTACTTTCTTTCTCCATCTCTGGCCAGTAATACCCTTGCCTCTTTATCCGTCGGTATAGACTGATATCTCCATCCCCATAAGACTTAGCATGGATCTGCTTAAGTTTGTAAGTTGCTTCTTGTCTACCGACGCATCTTGCTAGCAAGTTGTAGGGACTGCGAAAATACAACTCTCCTCTGAGGAGCAGAAATGATACAAGTTCTGCTGCTCTGATTGTTCCTTGGCCAATTTTCAACTGTTGGATTATATCTTCTTTCTGCCCCTCAGCATCTTGCTCTGTATGTTCTTCGACTAGCACTGCTAGTGTTGTTCTTTGCTCGATGACGATGGCTATACTATCATCTGGTATCTTCACCTTTGCCCCTAGTGTAGCCAAGGCATCGGGGAAACAGTTATGTGTCCTAGGAGTATGCTGGATTTGGACATCATCAAACTACGTGAGCAACCTTTGAACTACAGTGTGGTTTGGAGACAACAAAGGGCTCCTTTAAGACGAAATCACCCATTGTTTGCTTGACAACTAACTTGGAGTCACCCAAATTTTCAATTTGCGGAGGCCCTTCGTTTGGGAAGCTATTAGACCCAGTATCAGCGCCTTATATTCAGCCTTGTTGTTTGAACACTCAAAGTCAAGATTTTATGATAGATGAAACTTCTCTCCTTCTTGACCAGTTAGTGTTATGCCAGCTCCACCTTCCCCAACTCCGGAAGCTCCATCAAATTTTAAGTCCCAATAAGTCTCAATTGCAGCTGCTGAGACATGGACCTCACCTGGTAGAGGTACCTCTACAGGTTCATGTTAACCAGATGGGAACTGGGCCAGTAAGTTTGCAAATGCTTGGCTCTTAATAGCCTTGGGAGTAACACAAGTGATATCATATTCTGCTAGAGCCAAGAGCCATCTTGCCATTCTTCCAGTCAGAGTGGGCTTGCTCAACAAATAGCGGACTGGATCACTTTGGGTCATAACCTGGATCGGGTGTGCCAAAAAGTAGTAGCCCAACTTCTGCGCTATGAACTTAAGGCTAAACAATGCCTCTCAATTGGAGTATACTGCGACTCGGAACCATTGACTTTGCGACTGATGTAATAGACTAGTTTCTCAATGCCATCTATGTCTTGGACAAGTAGAGCTCCAACAGACCGAGGAGTGGAGGTTAGGTATAACAGCAGAGGCTTTTCGGGCTGTGGGGCAATCATTGTAAGTGGAGAGGTAAGTGCTTTCTTCACTGTATCTAATGCCTATTGGTGTTCTTGCAACCATTCAAACTTGTGATTCCCTTTCATCGGTGTCCCAAAGGAAAAGGTTATCTCAGCAAGGGCTAGAATAAACCTCCAGAGGTATGACACTTTGCCTAGGAATTTCTTCAAGGCCTTTTGAGAGTGTGGCGATGGCATCACCATGATTGACTTGATCTTATCCCCATCTACTTTGATCCCTCACTGGTGTATAAGAAAGCCAAGGAACTTGCTGGCGGTAACTCCAAAGGCACACTTGAGAGGGTTCATCTTGAGGCAGAATTTGCGGCAATGCTGAAAAACTTTTTCCAAGTCGCAGAGGTGGCAATTTGCCTCAGTGGACTTGACCACCAGATCATCCACATATACTTCTACTTCATGATGTAATATGTCGTAGAACACTGCGGTCATAGCCCATTGGTAGGTTGCCCTTGCATTTTTCAAACTGAAGGGCATCACCGTATAGAAAAAATTTCCCAAGGGCGTTCTAAAAGCCATTTTTTCTGCATCTTCTGCTGCCATTTTGATCTGGTTATAACCACTGAACCCATCGATGAAGGAGAACATGTGATGGCCCACAGTAGAATCGACAAGTGTGTCAACATGGGGGCAATGGAAATTCATCTTTCGGGCAGGCCTTATTCAGGTCACGAAAGTCTACGTAGACCCTGATCTGACCGTTCTTCTTCTACATAGGCACAATATTTGCTAGCCAAGTTGGGTACTGTACAGACTTAATGAACTTAGCCTTTTGTAACTTTTCTACCTCTGCCTTAATCTTTGCTTCAAGATCAGGGTGATACTTTCAAGCGTGCTGCTTGATTGGTTTAGAGTCGGGAAAAGTGTCCAGATGATGAGTGACAAGGGAAGGGTCAAGACCAGGCATCTCGTCATATGTCCAAGCAAAGACATCACTGTATTGCTCTAGTAGTGTTATCAATTCTGTCTTAGCTGTTGGAACCATTGTATCATTGATAAACACCGACTTGCTCTGCTTAGGTAAGTCACTGAGGTTGACCTCAGCAAGTATCTCCTACTAGGGTTTGGGCCTATCTTGTATGGATTCAGGGGCAGGCTCAGGCTTCTCTACCAACCCTTCTTGGGACCCATCACCGTCACATTTATTTGTCTTGGGGCCATCCTCCCAAGGTATGAAGTCTAGCCCCCAATACCGTCATAGGGAGTAAACTATCTTGCCGCCCTTGCGCACTTTAATAATCTTGGGCAGAGAACTTGTAGATTTACTACTCCTTTTCTATCCACTGCTTTCTGGGGCAGCCTCTGCATCTCGAATGTCTTCCCATTTCTGCAATTTTACCAGGCCTTGGAGTTTCATTCGTTGACAACTCAGTAAAAAAAACTGCATCCGAATATTATGCCTCTTCCACTTGTAATGGCTTTTCAGATGCATTTATGGTCACTGTGCGCTTTCCCAACTTTGCCTTTATGCATTGGTGATAACTTGATGGGATAGCCCCATATCGGTGCATCCAAGCTTTGCCAAGTATCATATGGTAATTTGTGTCTGCTTCAATCACATGGAACTTAGTTGCAGAACGTATCTCGCCAACTGCTAAGTCCACGACAACATGGCCCCTAGTAACTTTTTTGTCACCACCAAAACCCATTTCAATGATGGGTTGGCGAACCAATCTGGACTCTAGGATACCAGCCTTTGCAAAGGTGTTAATAGTAATGATGTTTATGGACGCCCTACCATCAAGGAAAGCACGCTTGAACTCTACATCATTGATGTAAGCTGTGACAAAAAGAGGACGGTTATGGGGAAAAAGGTATGCTCTGTCTAATTCTGAAAAAGTAATGGCCCCATAATCTTCCTAGATGCACTGAGGCACATACTCCTTGGCCTTAGCAACTTCATCATAGTTCACTTCAGAGATATTAATGAGGGCCCTTTGTTGCTTCCAATCTCGCGGCTTGGCTTAGCCCTAGCTGGTCAAAGAAGGTGCGAAACTTAACAGAGTATTGCAAGGCTTGAGCATGAGTATCCTCTGCGAATTTCATCTCTGCAGGTACTGTCTCTGGGAGCTGGCCAACTGCGATTTCTTTTAACTCATCATAGTAGAACGCCATGTGCACTTGATCGTGCACAGGCCCAAGATAGCCAATCATGTGTACATTCTTCCTTTTCTCCTTGTGATTAGGATATGGGTCCTTCCTTACATCGCGATTATCAGCATCTTTGAATTTCAGCTCATTTGCGTCAACCTTTTTCTTAAAGATACTTTTCAACGTCCAACAGTCCTTAATAGGGTGTCTGGTGGTTCTATGATAGACACAATAATCTGGGCTTTCTTTGTCCTTCTTGGTTGGTGTGACATCAACTGGAGGCAAAGTAAGTTCACCATCAACGACCCATTCTTTAACCAAGGCCTTAACATTCTCAAGTCTACAAGGATATGGATTTCTGTCCTCATAACTCTTCCTCTTTCGAGAGGACAATACCTCTGCTTGTGTGCAGCTCCCTCCTGTAGAGGTTTCCGCAACAACTCTACTACAGCGGGAGTAGCGGTGGCTGTCATGAGATTTGTGTAAAGGACCAGTGGTACTGAGGTTCCTAGTTGCCTCAATCAAGGCTAAAAAGGTAGGCAGATTATGGTTCACCAAGAAAATTTTGTAGTTGTGTATGGCACCCTCTACACATATGCTGACTAAGTGAGCCTCATCCACTGGTTCATGACAGTCAATAGCCTTATCTTGGAACCACTTAACATAGTTCAGTATATCTTCGCCTTCTTTTTGGACATCTCGCCCAAGTGTGAGGGTTGTAACTTTCTCTTGGACTTGGAAGAACTTCGTGTGGAACTTGCTCACTATCTCCTCCCAACTCTTGATAGAGTTAGGAGTCAAGTTCACACACCAACTGTAAGCCCTTTCAGTAAGTGATTTCGAGAACTCCCGAAGGTGCAGAGAGTTGTCGCTGCCATGGACACTAAGAGTTTCAATGAACCTCACCACATATTCTCTAGCATTGCCTTGTTTTCCATCAAACTTAATAAACTTGGCACTGTATACCGAGTTGGGTATGGCATGGTCAATATCTCTTGAGAGTATGGGGCTTTACATCTAGGTCTGGGAGAGATGGCAGCTACTTCTTGCTACGCTCTTGCCTGAGCATAGCTTGTACGTCGGCAAGAGTAACAAAGTGCGTAGGTTGGAATGGTCCAGTTTGCTCCTAGGTAGCTGAACCAGCGGCCGTACTGATCACCTGAGGTACCACTAGAGGCACCTGGATCAGAGCCCAAACCTCAGCGAACAAGTTAGGCATTGGGTTTGGGACTACCACAAGCGGAGGTGCTTGCACTAGAGTTGGCTTAGAAGCCACGGCCATAATAGCCTCAGTGAGAGTTTGCAAAGCTTCCAGGATCTCCTTCTGCGTATCCTGGAGTGACTGAACTACCTCAATCACAACACTGTGGTCATGGTCCTCTACATGTGTTGCCCCGTTATTAGAAGAGCCTTTTTGCTGTGGGGGTTATTAAACTTCATCTTTTGCCATCTTTTCTAGCGAAGTGTGTAAGCCACTGCGGATATGCACCATCAACAAAACAACCTCCCTAGTGGAGTCGCCAGAAATGTAGGGAGGGTTCAAGGTTAGAGAAGTGATTAGAGAGGAAAAACTATGTTAATGGTCCAATAATGGTGGAAGTGGCTAAAGAATGAATAGCAGCAATTATACGGGAGTTTGAGAGTGTGTAGCTGGGTGAGAGTGAAGCAAATGACTTAAGAAGAAGACAATGGCAGTGCCATAATGGGCAACATCTTCTCCAAAAATCTTCCTATTGAACCTTGCGAAAAGGGTCCTATCTATAGGCTTTTCCTTGGTACCAAGGGGATACCAAGTGGCCAAATAGAGAGAAGACATGCGTCCTAGAGGATCACATGGAATATTCTGGCTTGAGCTAACAGGCTGAAGGTGCCACGTGTCCCTTTGCACGTATTGTGTACCATCTGTTTGCCCGTTGCAACTACGCTTGCTGAGGCTCAAAAAAGGCAGTTGCAGAGGCAAACAGATAGTACACAATACATACAGAGGGACACATGGCACCTTCAGCCTGGTGGCTCAAGGTAGAATATTCCATGTGATCCTTTGGGACACATATCTTCTCTCTATTTGGCCACTTGGTGTCCCCTTGGTACCAAGGAAAGGCCTATAAATAGGACCCATTTCCCAAGGTTCAACAGGAGGATTTTTGGGGATTTGGGGATGCTCCTGCCCATTTTGGCACTGTCATTGTCTTCTTCTTGAGTAATTTGTTTCACTCTCACCCAGCTGCACACTCTCCAACTCCCATACAGTTGCTGCTACTCATTCTCTAGCCAGTTCCACCATTATTGGACCATTAACATAGCTCTCTAATCACTTCTCTAACCTTGAACCCCCTCTTACAGAATCCACCATGAATCTCACTATAATAATCCAATATATTCATTTCGTAAGTTCTTGAGTGTAAACATCCATTCCGAAAATAAAAAAATAAAAAAATAATAATCAAATTGATATGATAATTATAGCCATATAATTTCATCATTTTTTTTTCAAAAAATAGATGACAAGCATAATTTTGAAAATATTGCGGTCTATTTTTTGAAATTTTTTTTTTTGTTGAAATTATTGTTATTAAAATTATCAAATTAATTTAATTGATACTTTTATTTTTTTTAATGGATGATATATACTAAAAACTTACAATCTATTTACAGCTAGATGGTCCAAGACAAGTTGCATCTATCTAGAGTTTTATATCTGCACTAACGTTTGCCATGTAAATCCACACACAATTAAAAAAAAACTAGAAGAACAACTAGTGAAATATATATCTATACAAGAAAATAGATGTATTGATTGTTTATTGTTGAGATATAGGTGAGCACATATCATTAATCGTATGAACAACAACAAGACTATCAGATATATCCATCAATACCCAACAATTAATCATGAAAATATAATTAGACTAGGGTCAACCAAGTGAATTCTTTTTAACTTTACTTTGATTTTTTCCATTTTTGAAATAGACAAATCTTTTTCATTTACCCTTGTAGACACCCCATTTTTGACCGTCCTCAAGACTTGGATGTCATCGTTTGAACACCCGATGATTGTGCTTGCTCGTGTTCATTTTGAGTCCCTAAAGGTCTCGGCTAAGCACCTTGCCTTGAAGCCTCTAATCTTCTTTATTTTGTGCTTGGTTGTGGGCCAAGAGCTTGTTGCTTCACTTCTGGAGGAGAGAGTGGCCTGTCGGCTAACCCCCTATCCTGCCGGCCATGACTTGTGCCGGTCGACCACCAGTGGTGGCCGGTCAACTATGTTTATGGCCGGTTGGCTACATTGGTGGCTAGTCGGCCACTGATGATGGCCGACGGCTATTTTTCTCCTTTTTCAATTATTTATTTGCCAGCTGTTGTTCACTGATGCTCATCTCCATACACGTGTATAGAGGGATGAATACATGACTTTAGCTTGATTTTCTATATATAGGGGGGTCTCTCCCCCATTTTGAGAGGTTACACAATTTTGAGAAAATTTCTCTCTCTCTAGAATTCTATCTCTCTCCTCTTGTTTTATGCTTGAAAGTTAGAATTCTCTACACATTTGCACACTAGCCCTTAACCAAACATCCTCATCTTGGAGCTGAGGTTCTTTGAGGCTTAGTTTGAGCTCCTAAGGTTGGTTTTAGCTCAGAATTGTGACTGTTTTGTGCCGTTCTATGCTTCAAAGGTATAAGACTTACCTCATTTGAGCTCTTTGTCCATACTTGTTTTGCCATCTCTTTAAGCTATTTTGGGCGTAGTTTTCAACTACAAAAAGTTTCTATTTTGGGGTCTTAACATGTTGGTTTGAGGCCATTTTGTGCTAAGGGGTTGTCTACCCTTCTTATTACTTATTTGTATGAGGTTTTGTGCCATCTTTTAGCATACTCAAATCAAACTTTTTGGGCCTTTAAACCACTGAAATTCAAAGTTATTTCAGTGGTAAAAAGTATGTTTTGAAGTCCAAAAATGGAGGGGTTAGCCTTCATTCCTTGTGTCTCACTTCCATGCCTAGTCATCATGACAAAGTTATGGCATGTTTTGGTAGCTTAAGTTAGCTTATTTCTAGCATGTGTTTGCCTTTGATTTGGCATGATTTAACTCTGTTTTGGGTTACTTTGGTCGTATGATCCTTGTCTTGCATAGTTGTAGTGCAAATAGCCTCACTAACTTGGCATTCTAGGCCTTTAAACAGGATTTTCTTCAGATGATTGCATGTTGTAGTGTTTTTTTACATGTAATTTCAGTGTATATAGCTCTGTACATGCTCATTTATTTCACTCTTTCATTGCTTTTGAGAGTTGTGTCTTGAGTCTTCTTTCCAAGCTAACATGTGAGCATGCTTTTCTAGCCTTTTATGCCCTAATCTCAGCATGTTTTAGCCACTTTTTTGGCATATTTTAACTTTGTCCAGAGTTGGTTTGGTCAGTTGAAGCTTGTATTGTATGCCTATAGTGTTGTGATCTTCACTAGCTTAATGAGTTAGGCTTTTAAACATGGCTTGCACGTGTTGCTTGCATGATTTTGTGTCATTTTGCATGTCATTTCAGCACTGAAATATCTACCACCTCCCTCATTTCTTCACTTTTCCATTCTCTTTGAGGTTGGTTAGCCTTAAGGTTGTGTTTAAGCTTGAGATTGAGACTTGTGCTTAATGGTTTTAATCCTCTTTTGAGGGTTTCTACTGACGAACAACATGATCTCTCTCATGTCTTAAGCCATCCTTTGGTTGACCCATCTCTCATTAGAGGACACTCACCATGGACTTAACCGGTTAAAGAATGATTTGGTAATGTAAAATGTGTAAACAAAATTGGACAAGTAAAACAT